ATAAAGAATAAATTTACAATCTTGCAATCTATTCATAAGATTTAAATTTGTTTGTAGCAACATGCATGTCACCCCTAAAATGAAATGGTTCATCCCACCTGTCACCCCTCAAATTAAGTGACTTCGTCCCACCTGTCACCCCTCAAATGGAATGGAATAGTCCTACCTGTCACCCCTCAAATGAAGTGAACTCGTCCAACCTGTCACCCCTCATATGGAATGGAATAGTCCTACCTGCCACCCCTCAAATGAAGTGAACTCGTCCCACCTGCCACCCCTCAAATGAAGTGAACTTGTCCCACCTGTCACCCCTCAAATGAAGTGAACTCGCCCCACCTGTCACCCCTTATATGGAATGAACTCTCCCCACCTTTCACCCCTCAAATGGAATGGACTCGTCCCACCTGCCACCCCTCAAATGAAGTGGACTCGTCCCACCTGCCACCCCTCTAATGAAGTGAACTCGTCCCACCTGCCACCCCTCAAATGAAGTGAACTCGCCCCACCTGTCACACCTATAATGAAATGGAACTGTCCTCCCATTTGACACCCCTCAAACCGAATGAACTTTTCCCACCCTCAAATTTGATAGACTCGCCCAAAAACTGGACGGTTTTTTTCTCTCACTCATATCAATGCAGTCATACGAGTATCATTCATATCAATCTACAAGCAAAGACCAAATATTCAATGTATTAATTATTTATTATATGACATTTGTAATGACAGAAAAACACGAAAATCAAATATTTACAGTACGATTTGTGTGCTCAAGTAATAAAAGAGAATGAAGAAATAGAACAGTCTTTGAACAAGACTGGATTCATTAGACAAAGAATAGGCCGACAGGCGGTATTAACCGTTTGAACTTGACCGGAAATGATAAATGTGAAAATTGGCACCTACAGAATTTATTCATATTAATATTTCGTGCAATTGTAATGAAACTGCTTTGTGTTAATTTCAAGTTTTTCATTTACAAAATTAAAAAGCAGTTTTAGATTTAATCTGGAGAACAAAAAATGCATTCTAAAGAGAGTATAGTATAGGTTATAAATATCCAGTATATATCAATTTTACTTTAATTCCGTGTATTTTAGATTGAATCAAAAACTACCCCCCAAAAAGTAATTTATTTTCATAAATTGTTTCTCATTCACAAGTGAAAATATTAACAATAAAAATTGACTTATACAATACAAATTATAATAATATGATAAGGTAGTTGATTGGCTAAATAAACAATCTTAAACAGCTTCAACATCGTGAAAATTGCGTTTTTAATCTCAACTTTGAAATTTGTGATTTGCAAACAAGCTGAAAATAATTGCACAATTGCATAATGAGATGATTTTAAAAAGAAGCTGGATTGGTTCCAAATAGAATGATGTACATAGCATGTCCTAAGGTATAATTTAAAATATGTCATGATCAGTCCCTAGTGTACATGTAATATATATATATATATATATATATATAAAGGATCGATTCCAAGTATAATTTCTAAAGGGAACACAATCGATCTTAGTGCACTGTTTCAATATGTTAAAATGTGTTTAAAAATCACAGAGAGAGAGAGAGAGAGACCATGTACAATTGTCAACATATAACATCTGTGGTGCAAATGGATCTGTATCTGCGGCAGCTTTTGAAATACGTCTCGGAGAATACGTCACGTACACTCGGCAGGATCTCGGAAAAGGCGTTTGCAGCTCTGAAATATCAAAATAACATTTAAATGGCGATATTTCTATCTTCGAAAGCATAGAATCCGAATAAAGATTAGATTAACTGAAAAAAGAAAAACGTCTGCTCATGCCCAAAAAAATCACATTGTGGCTAACTGAAGACCAAATTTGAAAAGTCGAGCAAACAGGATTTGTATTCAAGATTTGTATGCAGAATTTTGATATTGCACGATGATAAGAATCACAAGAATCACAATATTTTTGGAAAGCGTTTATAAGGTAAAGGGACCATTTCCAGACACTATCGTACTAACTATGGATCGATCTATCTCCCATGGGATTCTCGCTAAATTGCAATCAACTTAAGCGGCTTGGATGTCTGAAGCTGCTAGGGGGTACTAAATTATTGTTTAGCAGCAAAATAGAATGGCAACGAAAAAAAAAGCCGATATTTTATATTTTCGAGTTTTTTCATCGTTTTAAATCAGCACAAAGATAGATACATTACTGAATAATTAGATAAAGGAAAAAACTCATTTTTGGTATCTGGATGATAATAAAAGGTTACAATAACCTGAAGTCAAAGCTTTAGAGTCTAGACGGCTAACATACACAAGTCATCGTGAAAACTTTAAAAGCTTTCTCTCGTTAATGTTCCAATTGAAAATATGGGAATTTTTTTAAATACCGGTGAAACTAAATGCACTGTTATACTGATCAGTTTGTAATGTAGGCATCTGAGAGGCTTCACACTTAGGCCTATATATCAAGTAGGCCTACTACGGAAGTGTTTAAAATAAGAAATGTGTTCAGGTGGCCTAATTACGGACAGTGAGTGACATTGAAGGGACAGCATCTGGGCACCAAAAATCAAACTATCTAATATAACATTCTTCATATTATATTGTGTCTTTACTGGCAGCACGTGCTTTTCAAGATTTTTAAAAATATCACTATGCAACTTTTCTCAAATCCAGTCAACTACTCAGGCGAACGTAAAATTTAGATCGAGTAAAATAATAATAATAAATTATTATCTGGTAGTTTGAACTCGTAAAAAACATGAAAAGCTATTACTCACATGACAAATTCGTTACAATTCTCGAAGCTGAATGAAAATTCCGGCTCTGCGACTTCATCACACATATGAGCGTCCTGTCCTTACAGTGTGCAGCTGTCAAGTGACCAGTCAAGAAGATACGAGTAGTGCGCACTGCGTTGAGCGACTTACTGTTATGCAAATTACTACGGGTTCGGCACATTTTGATTGAGGGGTTGCTGTTGAAATCATTTTCATTTGAATTATAGTCTGGTTTATTTGAAGGCACAATAAGTCTCCATCTCGAAAGAGGATTAGGCAGAGTCTAATTTCAAGAGGGGAATATTTTTTCAGAAACCGAAGGACCCCCCCCCCCC